AAATCTCCTCTTATCATGTACATAGGGGTCTCTCATCAATGACCTAATAATGATCATTTGTGGCTCCTGCTGACTTGACTATTGCTTTTGCTACCCTCTAGCCTGCTGACTTGAAGCATTTAAGCTTCCCAAGCAGATAGTTGTTGGGTTAACATACCTGCTAGCCAAATGTATTCTTTTGTGTCAATAAACCAAGAACTAATTGTTGTTTTCACATGCTGGTTTGATATTTAAGATGTCATTTTCTACTCAGGAAAAAAAAAACAACCATGTTGAAAAATCACTTTTAATTTTCCCTGCAGTGAATGGGATATGCCAATCAAATACAGCATCCTGGGACACCACCAAACTGGATTTGCTCCTCATTGCAGCTTTTATAACATAGTCTTCATTCTTTCTCCTCAGGAAATAAATACTCTGAAGGCAGACAATGAAGTTCTAAGGACTGAACTAAGGTTTGCTCAGAAGAAGATCGAGTCTCTCCGGCTTGAAAGAAGCAACAATCATGTCCTGAGCCATAGGGAACATCAAGAATGCTCCTAGCCCTGAAGCCAGGAGATCACAGGAGTCACATCATGGAGAAGGGTAGAACTCAACTTTCTCCAGAGCTGCCAAACACAAGGGAATGGGGAAAAGCCAGAATGTTGGGATGTCGAGTGTGGTACTCTATTTAAAATATATGCCCTCTTTTCAACCTGAAAAATTCTTCATCAAAAAACACACACTCTCATTCCTTTTCCCATTCATTTGAGGAGGAAGTATGTTTTCAGTGGGGTGTTATCCAGAGATGTTCTCCTCCCCGTCTCCTCACTGAAAAAAAAAAGCTAGATAATACATGTCAGCACTCAGTACATCTCCTTCCACCAAAACCCTCCCCACCCAGCTCCAGTGCCAGTCCAGGGGAGTGGAAAGCCTGGATACAGGATCTTGACAAGGCTCATAACCCTTTTCTTGAAACACTGTTCTTACCCCAAATGATCTCGACATCCTTCAAACTAAATTCTAAACTCAGCCCGAAGAAGACTCTTAAAAAATTCTCTTCCCTGTGGGACAGAAGCTACTTTACCTGAGAACAGGATTCATTTTGCCTCACTCATTCAACTTGTTTCAAGCCTGCAACAGAGAATCTGTTAGTCTGTCAACAGACTACACCTCCCTCCTCCAATCCTGGCACCCGTAATCTCAGTGAGCCAATCATGGCTCATCTCAACATCATTATGCCACGTCTTCAGAGAAGACTGGCCAATCCTTCTGTCTCTTGGGTGTCCGTAGGTTTCCCAGTAGGGAGGCCATTCTCCTGTTCTCCCACTGTTCCAAATCTCACTTCTCCTTACTCTATCCCTAGGCATTTCTACCTGAAAGTGAACTCATTTTTCTTCATTTAAAAAGCCTGTTAACAAAATACCACGATGTGCAATTGGGAGGTTATCTTATCTCAACAATCTGTCTGGTCTATATGATGATCATAAGCAGATTCATGACTGCCCATTTAAAAGTGCTTTAACATTTACAAAGCACACTACACATTAATAGAAAGCACATTCATCATTTCTTTTAGAATAGAAATGTTAGAACTAGCAGGACCTGAAAGACCATCTTTTCCAGTCCTTTTAATTTTTCAGAGGAAAGAAAACAAAACTCAGATAGATAAAGCATCTTTTTCAGGATCACAGCTTATAAATGGTGAAGTTGGAACTAAAATTGGCTCTTTCTCTAGAGTTCTTCCCATTATACCATACTGGACAACTCTGAAGGAAAGATAGCATGGGCATTATTACCTACATTTTACAGATGAAGAAATGGAATCTCAGATAGAAGTGACTTCATCCAAGGTCATATACCTAGTAAAGTAGCAGGGCCAGATATTATAACTTCTAAGTCTATTGCTATCAAATTAAGCACCTGGGAATCTATTACCCTCCCCTAGGGCTTAAGCATCAGTGGTAGCTGAAATGACACATTGTCTCCAAACACGTAATTTTGCATTTGATAAGAGCATGCATTGAAGACGGCACAGCCAACAAACACATTGGTACATGAATTTACGTCGTACTGTAGCTAGAAAGTCTTTTATTCAACCTCTTCTGTTTATTCTGCAATTAATTTTTAATTCAAGGAAACCTTCTAAAGTTCAGCTGGTCATGACAAAATTCCTTTCTTTTTGTTTCAATGTATGTGTTTTGGAGAAAGGTTATACCATCCCTTTAGTGAAACTTTGAGGTATAAGCTAATTAGATGAGTAGTTTCCATAATAGCTGACATTGTAAATATGTATACATTATGTATAGAAAATATTGTGCCTGCATGTGGGCTGGTTTTTCTTCCTGTGTAAAAATGTGAATGTGAAACATGTACAATTTTTGGACATTCTTACATTAATCCCAAACGCACCAGAGTATTCTGAAATCAGAAAATAGTAAAACATCTTGCACAGAGACTTATAAATATGTTGTCATTTGCTACACTTTCACGTAAAGTATGGGAAGATAAATTTTATTAGTCAATCATAACAAAATTTGAGTTGGTAATTTGTCCAAGATTTGGAATCTTGCATCATTCAACTTCATTAGTCTGGCTTGTCTGAACAAGGGTTTACAAACTCCTATTTTGGTTCCCTTTCACTCCAGCAAATGAGAATTTGGCTTTATCTTTTATCTTGGGGTGTCTTTCACTTTTAAACCTTGAATGCTCAGCTTTCCCCAAGATATCCTCACTAGCCAGAACTAACATTTCCAGATGACCCCATTTATTTGGGTACTGGAAAGTTAATTGAACGAGAGGTAACTAATTCAACCACAAATTTTCCCAGAACCACTAAGCCTGCAAGAGGTTTGGGGGTTTTTTGTTACAGACACCCCTGATCCATTCTTGGAATGTTTTAAAATTAATTAAAAAAAAAAATAAAATGACAAAGGAAACCAACTAAATTGAAAACTAAGCAAAATATTTAAAAAACCAAGTTCACATTCCCCAGGTTAAGACCTCTGTACAAAAGGTCTCAATGAATAGAGCTTGGCAGGCTTATTTGCTTCAAACCTTATGGAGATGTGAAAGTTACAGCACTGAAGTGGAACAATTTGGTTAATACATGCTTTACCATGATTTAATCACCCTTGGTCTCAAGTGTGCTTACTGTAGATGTCTATTCTCAGAAATGTCACTATTTTAGCAGGCAGTCCCCTTTCTCACTGGTACTTAATTAACATCCTCGTAATGTGTAAACCTGTCCAAAGTTGTATAATGTAAAAGAACTGACAGAAAAATCAGATGTACAGATTGTAAAGTCTTTTGATACCTGATGTAAGTTTTCTTTGTTTAATATTTATATGATAAAAGATATTAGGACCATCATGATGTGTCATTTCTTATAACTAACGAAAAACAGAAAAGCTTCACTTTAGACTTTTCAACAGCCTGAAAACTACTGGAATGTTGACTTATGGCTTTTTAAAAATGGCCAAGTATCCAAGCACATCAATTCACTAAATAACAAGACTGAGAAACTGGAAAGTGGTCATGCATGTGATAAAACATTATTCTACTTCCTGTAATTTTGTCAGTGTGGGTACTTCCTCCAGTCAACAAGCTTTTACGTGCCAGGCACTGTGCTAAGCATCAGAGCACAATCTATACCTAAAATTCGGAAGTAGTCTTCTTCAGAAATTAATGTGTTAGGGTTAACCCCCTGCCATCAACGGTGATGAGCCTTTCCAAATGTAGCTAGTCTGTTAATGGTCAAAAGACAAACATTGAATCACCCATCCAGGGCCATATTTGAAATCTTTCTCTAGGTTGGTAGGACCAACGTTTGTACTTCACTGGCCCAGACATGGAGAACCCAACATTACTGAATGAATGAAATTAATAATTCACTCCATAACTGAGCTGATTAACCTGGGGTGGGAGGCAGGTCAGAAAAGAGATGATTCTGGAGGTTTGGTCCAGAGGATGCTCATTCGGTAGGATGGAGGGCCCAAGATATGTGAGGTCGATGACTGGATGGGATGTGATACGTAGTCTGGAGTCAGCTAGTGTTAAGGTTCACCCTCAAAAATTAGGACAGCTCAGCCTCAGATTAAACCTTCAAAACTGGGTGAATTAACTTAGCGGGATATTCTTTAGGTCAGATCTGGAAGATGCTGTTTTAAGGGGGAAAGGGTCAGTGGCACAAAAGACGACAAAATGTCAACAGAATAGGGCTGTAGTGGAGTTATTTTATACCTTTAATGTCATAGCTTCAGCCCAACAAACTTATTAAACGGGGGCTGAAGAGGTTGAGGGCAAAATATAAAAGGAAAAAAAACTATTCCAGGATTTGGGAATGTTAGAGGTTAAAGGTACAACTTCATTTTGGTTGTGTCCCCAGCATAGTGCATTGGATACAACAGCTGTTAAATGAAGTGATTAAGCAGGAGTAGCTAATGACATCAGTCCCCTTTTTCTTTCCAATTCTATTTCAACTGCAGTTTAACTACACAAGTAAAAAGATTTACCTCGAAATAGCCTTGATCACTTATATTTATACTTACTCTGAATAGACATATTTAGTAAGCTAGGAATTTGACACCCAAAAAATCCAATTGAAGAGCTGAAAGGAACTTTAGAGATTATCTAATCCAAGCCTGTCATTTCCCAGATAAGGAAACTTAAGTCCCCAGGGAGTGGATGACTTGCCCACAAGAGTAAGCAAGCTAAGTACCAAAGCACACACTGTCACTCACTCCCCATGCTTCCCCCAGGCTTTTGACACCGAGATCTAAATTGGTCTCCACACAATCTTATGCTCTCCTGGACAGACAGACTTCAGAAAGATGAAGTTGTTTTAAAGCTTTTTTTTTCCTTGGGGGGGGGTAGTGGAAGTATTATTCAGTGATAAAAGCAACTCTGATTTTTGAAAAGTTATTTTTATTTTTTCAAGTGGTCCTTTCTGATTTACTCTGGGTAGGTGGCAACCATTTGGTACAGAGGAATTTGTCAGATTCTACATAAATAACACAAGCGAAACTTAAAACAGTATTTTATTCAGTGTTCACAGCTGTTACTAAAAGGTGTTTTCTTAAATATGGAAAGGATTTTTTCTATTGTCACAAATGAGAACTTGAGTGTTTTTGTCCGCTAAATGTAAACATACAAAAAATACCCTAAACAAATACTCACAAATAACAATCAAAAAAATTCTACATTTTCCTTTCCTCTGGAAAATATCTTGTCTCAGAGGGTTGGCTTGAAAATACATTTTCAAGACTGCAGCATACAGAATCATCCCCTTTTTTGATGTTATTACATTTCCTTAGGATTTTTACCCCATGGCTTCTTTTGAAAATTTGCTCAACAAGTAATCACATCACTTCTCTGGTTAACAACCTATTTATGTATCTATTGAATTAGACAGACTGAAAAGTTGTTCGGCATATGCTGGGACACCAGTTCCACAACCTGCCTGAGAAATACTTGGATAGCACAATCCCATTTCTAGGAGAGATTTATCATTCCCCATTTGCTCCCTGAATATAAGGGACTGCTCCAAAAGACTTCACAATATTATTTCACTAATGTTCACATTATTTGTGAAGCAAGTAGCAGGGTGTTATCATCTCCATATGACACATGGAAATTTCTTCTAAGAGATGGAGCATTTGCTCTACCCCTCTAATCCTCCAGGATATAATACCAAGATTAGAACCCTGGATTCTAGATTCTCAGGCCATTGTTCTAATCATGAATGCAGACGTGCCAAGCTAACTCCCTGGCTAGCTATCCCAACCTACTATCTCACCCAAACTACTACAGAAAACAAACAAATGAGTTCTTTCCTTCAGGAAGTAGCACTACTCATGAAACCAGTTCGGTCCATTTGTAGTGAATCTACCAATCCAATATAATTTCTGGCCAGATTTAACATTAAAGAATCAAGAGATAAAGTAATTTGGCCTAGAGGCTCAGCCCAATCAATTCCTTACTTAAAAAGGTGACAGACAGATTGGCTTGTCTTTACTAAGGCTAACAGTGGGGCAAAAATGATTATTTTCTTTGAAGGCTTGTTCCCTTTCTGCCAAAGAAAGATATTTCATACTTTCATACACAGACAGTACATGTAACTTTTGTCAATTTAAGATAATTTTCACTTCAACTTTGTTTTGTGAGATAAGAAAATTCTAAAGATTTTAAACTCAAATCAGAAAATGATTTTAAAATGCTAGGGAGGAATTTTATGGAGAGAAAAAAACCTGCTATTTTTTCATATGTACAAATAGGCTTGGACTATAGAGAAGGAACCCTAGCAAAAATATAGATGAATGGAGTCCCTCCTGTAGAGAAAAAGCAAAACTAGATAAATGCATTTTGGACCCCTTGACTACTTATTCCCAGGCAAAAAAAGGGGGGGGGGCGATTAACAAATACAAAGGATGTACAAAAAATACTGATGAAGCCAACAGTCTATAGCTTCATGGGAAGTGGGGTCAGTTTTATGAAACAAACTTAAATAAAATATAGGTACTTTAGAGTCTAAACTCTGACCAGGAAAATACTAAAATTCTTCCCTTCCCATATTCTAAGATTAGTGGTAATAAATATTTACATTTTTAAAAAGCTTTTTGTTTTATTTTCTCATCATCATTTTTTTTTTTGGAAAAAAAGCTCCAACATGCTCAAGGATACATGGAATATAGGGACCACTTCCCTTAAGAGATCAAAATCCAATATAAAAACAATGCTTTTATGTATTAACCAGATTCAACAGTGATGGTATCAGGTGGTCTAAAGGGTATATACTTCATAGAGCATATTCAAATCTGTTATTTAAAATACTACGCCTAAAAGTACCGAACACATCCTTCTACTAGAAAACAGGCATCATCTAATTATCTATAACAGAATTTTAGTATCTTCGATATCCACCACCACCACCACCACCCCTCCTCCTCCATATGGATCTCCATAACCCCCTCTCCCACCATAACCCCCTCTTCCGCCATAACCCCCTCTCCCACCATAACCCCCTCTCCCACCATAATCTCCCCTCCCACCATAATCTCCCCTCCCTTGAAAACTACCACCTCTACCCCCACTACCACCACCACTACCCCCCCAACCCCCACCTCCTCCTCCACCGCCGCTGCCACCACCACCACCTCCTCTTCCACCTCCACCTCCACCCCAACCACCCCGGCCACCCCCACCTCCTCTTCCACCTCCACCTCCACCCCAGCCACCCCTCCCTCCGCCTTCTTGTCTCTTCTGCCAAGGAGGCATTTCAGGAGGTGGTGGTTCAATTTCAGTTGGCCTTCCTCCTCTGTCTGGAACCCTTCCCATCAGCACCTGCATTTTATGGTGAAAAAAAGGATAAAATTAAACTTCTTAAGTATTCAAATATTCTAGAAGTTTTTTGTTTTAATGATAAAGAAAAAAAAGACAAATATTTAAGATGCTGATTACCCTGAAACTTAAAGCAATATAAATTAATAACACTACACACACAAATATTGACTTGATAAATCTCAGAATATGGTTTTATTTCTAACTTGTCACACAGAATAATCGAGGAGAATGTCTCTGTTATTTAAGATATTTTGCCAGGGAGAATATCTCCATTACTTAAGATACTCTACTTATTTCCTTTCATTTCAAATATGTTTAACTGTCTTCCAAAAATGAGGATTCTTACATATGTTCCCCAAATAAAGGAGTTGGAATTGATTTCTAAAGGAAAAAACATTTCATGGGACTTTTGGTTATTCGTTATCATAAACAAAAACTATGATAAGCACAAGCAAAAAGATAACCATGAAAATAAATAAATGCAGCTTATGGGCCAACATCTATGACAGAGAATAAAGAGGTAGAAAAGAAGTCATAAAAGGGAGGAAGTGAACAGATACATCGATACTCAGTGACTTCTACACAAAGATGGGCACAAGGGAGATTGATGAAAACTGCTGGAAAATATGGTTCAAGATTACGAAACAGAAGAGACCAAATGCTTATAAACTACTTGAAAGCCTCATACCTTGTAACATGAAAACTTTAAGAAAAGAGTCCAAAGGTACAGAACTTGGTTAGCAATGAACATTACTACAAAAAAGTGGACTCTATTTTAACAGACAAGAAATTACTTTTTATAAATGCAAGAGCCATTTGATTATCAGCTACCTGTCAGACCAACAGTTCATTAAAACAAAGATCAAAGCCAACACTAAGAAACTAATGATTAGTAACACTGGAATCATCCAAAGGAGACTCACGCACCAATATGTAACCAACATACTATACATGAAGAATTGGAAATGGAACTAAAAAACAGCCATATTAGATCAAAAACAGAGAGTAGAAATCTATGCTGGAGATGACAATTCTGAAAGCACTGAGAAGGATCAATTTTCAAGACATCTGAAAGAGGCAAAGATATCAATCAGGAAAAAATCCACAGCATTACTCTCCCAAAATGATGAGTAAGAGATCTTCATTAACTACAGATCTACATGACCACTTTCTTATCTCTATGAAAGCTTTGAGAATAATCTATGCACATTCAAGAGTATTCTGTATAGGTAACAAGTTTTATACATATAGATAAAGATAAGAGAAGGTAACAGAAAGGTTTTTACAAATGATTTTTAAAAGCAGACCACAATTTTACAGTCATACAACTGACTTAAAAGTGTAATAAGTTCACTTTTTTTATTAAAAAATTTGATTCAGGAGAGCATATCTAACCTGAATGGTGGTTCCCTCAACAAGTGTCTCTCATGCAAATGTCAAGACCCTACAAGAAGATTCCTTGATACAACCACAGAGATAATTTTGTCCAATGGTCTTCTATTACTATCAAGCAAGGCACAAAACAGGGAGATTTTGTTCACAAAATCTGTAAGAAGGATTTCACATGCAGGGTATAAAATGCTTTGAAAAAGGATCCTTTATAGAAAAAGAGGTTCTCCAGATACTCCTATTTGCATCTGGCCTCAGAATACTACAGAAACTCCTCAGTGATGTCCACAACCATTCACGAGAGGGCAGCGTAATAATCCATACAGAAAAAAATCAACCAAGTCAACAAAGAATGCTGACTGTCCAGGTCAATGATACCCAGATTGGATGGGTAGCCCATTGAAATAGTCCATCAGTACAAACACCCTAGATAAAACTGCAAAAGGATAATGAACTGCATCAAGAACCAGAGAAAGGAAGAAAGCTTGGCTGGACTACATTTAGGACATTTCACAGCCCTTTCAACAATTCCAAGCTGACAAAAGAAGTCAATCTTTCTGACAATCTGCAGCTATCAATCCACGAATAAAAACTTCAGGTGACCCCAAACAACCAGAGAATTAAGATAAGCTGCAGCAGAATGACAATGGTGACTTGCACAAAAGAACTGGTAGGTGCCTGGAACACAGCAGGTGCTTGTTGACTGATTAGCAAGATTTATCATCCAAGAAATATATGATTAGAAAAGGAAGAGGGCAGGTCAGAAAATAAGAATGAAGGGTGACAGATGGACAGGGACAGTTCTAGTGCTTCTCTGATAATAACAGAATAGTCAGAGTCAATAAACATTTACTGAGTACCTACCATGTGTCAGGCACTGTGTTAAGCACAGGATTTACACAGTGCTTTACAAACATCTAATTTTACCCTCACAATGATCCTAGGAGGTAGGTGCTTTTATCTTCATTTTTTAGATGAGGAAACTGAGGCAGACAGTCACATAACTAGTAAGCGTCTAAGGTTCAACTCAAACTCAGGTCTTTGTGATGTCAAGTCTAGCACTCTATGCCCTGGGCTACCTAGCTGCCCCTGTATGGAGTATGGAGAATGATGTGAAGACACCTCACCCACCCCAGCATGCTGAGTAGATCCTATAATGAAAATTTATGGGCAAATGTGGACTTGAACTGCACAGAATAAGAACACATGGATAAGTTATGACCTGCATCATGAAAGGGATGAGAACAAATCCACTAAAATAATAAAGTAAAAGGAGCAATTTGCATAGTTGATAAATGTCCCTCAAGTTCCTATCCTTGGCCCTCTTGTCTTCTCTCTCTCTATTTTCCCCTTGTTGATTTCATCTATTATATCTTCAGTTATCACCTTTATGAATTAAAGTTCAAAATCTCGTTTCCAAAATCCAAACTTTTTCCAGAGCTGTTTCTATATTTCCAATGACCTGTCAGATATGCTTAACTTGTTCAAAATTAAACTATCTTTTCTCCAAAGGATGTCTCTCCCCTTAACTTCTCTATCATGGAAACACTATCCTTCCAGTCACAAGGATTCATAACCTTTGACTCAACATTTATGCTTCATTATCCCTTGCCATAACATTCACTTAGCTGCCAAATCCTGACGATCCTATCTCTTGAATCTCCCCTTCCTTTCTATTCTCTACTTGAGTTCAGGCTTGATTTCTTCTTGTCTAAACTAAAATAAAAGCCTCCTAACTAGTCTTTCTGCCTCTATCCTAATCCCTCTCTCTAATCCCTCTTCCAAACCACACATTGTCATAGTGCTATTTCTATTTATTGCTCTGATCATGTTACTCATTCTTCTACTTATAAATGTCATTGCCTCCCCACTGACTAATGCCTAAAGTGACATTCAAGGCCTTCCACAATGTGGTTCCAAACTTCCTAAGCAGGCATATCTTACACTACTCCCCTTTATACTATATTACAGCAAGTCTGAGTTAATCTCTGTCCTATTCTTATCCCATCCTCTTCTATCTCCATACTTTACTAATATTGCATGTCCTGTGATAGTGTCTCTTCCCAATTCCATCTACTAAAGTCCTTCCCCTCTTTCAAAGCCCAGATGAGGTACTGCCTCTTCTGCAGTGACTTTCCTAATAATTCCAACCTACTCCTAGGTGAATGTCTCGGGATCTGAGAGTTGGAAGGAACCTCAGAAAGCATCTAAATGCATCCTATACCTAACAAAGAATTCTCTTTATAATGTACCTAAGTGGTAAACTATCTTCAGCTTGAAGAATCCACTAGACCCCAATGCAGCCCATTCTACTTTTCACCAGCTCGGATTGTTAGGAACTTTTACCTTGGGAAAAAAACCCGAATTAACCTCTTTGTAGCCATTATGTTGTCCTCAAGTCTTCTCTTCCTTGAGCCAAACATTCCTAACTATAAGCAATCATCAACTGTATGGCAGGGCAAGTAACTTCTCCCACGTCAAATTTCTCAAAATATTTTACCTAGGTCTTTCCTGTGTACTTGTCACACTGTTCACTGTATCAAATTTATTTATGTATACAGCCTATCTTTCCTATCAAATTATAATCTCCTTAAAAGCAAGACCTTTGTCATATTTACCACTGTATTTCTAGCCAACAACACAGAGGCTTGGCTTAATAAATACAGAAATTACATAAAAGAATTATAGATTATTTTAAGCAGTTAACTTTGGATGAATCATGGTAATGAATTCAATTCAAAACATTTATTAAGGCACTTACTGTACACAGGGCACTCTAGAAACTGGGGGAGACATACAGTTTTTGAGATTCCTGTTTTTATGGTCTGGCAAGTGTAAATGAAAGAAAGCCCCAGTATAGATAACTAAAAACAAACAGAAGATCCATTTCGTTATTACAGAACAGTTTCTGATACATGTGGATATAATCAGATCAGAAAAACAAATAGATTAGCAATCAAGGAACACCTATCCTCCTATCTCTTTGCCTTTGCTTAAACCTTTACCTATATCTGGAATAATTTCTCTCCTCCTTTCCCCCATATAACATATACATATACATATGTGTGTATATCTTTGAAAATTAATCCAAAGTTCTGTTTTCTCTGTGAAGACTCCCTTGACCAGCCTAATGTTTGAAACATTTATTTGCTACATAATATGCACTGCCTGTATGTGTTAATTATATTTTTAATGTGTATTTACCTTGTCTTCTCCTAGACTTTAAGTTCATTGAGCACAAGGCCTCTGTCTTGTAAGCCTTTGTATCCCCCACAGTTCTTAACAGAGTGCCTTACATGCCTTATTCATGGAAAATGTAAAAAGATTTGTTGAACAATGAAGAAATTCTAACCATAAGAAATCATTTACATAGCAAAAGCAAAGTCTGAATCAGAAAAAGGAATAAATTTATATCAATTCCTTCTTTTCCACTGAGAAGCATATGACCAACAGTAAGAAATGTCAAAGAAAAACAAATTACAATAATTGTATTGATTCAGCCATGAAGCTAGTTAAAAACCAAATTGTTTTAAACTGAAACGATTTCAAAATTAAACTTATTTCAAAATTATTTTAAAGTATGGGGAAGCTAGGTGGTGCAGTGGATAGCACGCCAGCCTTAGAATCAGGAGGACCTGAGTTCAAATCCAGCCTCAGACACTTCACACTTAGTAGCTATGGGACCCTGAGAAAGTCACTTAACCCCAAATGCTTCACCAAAAAGCAAAAAAAAAATTATTTTAAATTATTCTAAAGCTTATGTAGTAAAATATCATTAACACGCTAACAAAAAAAAATTCTAAATAAAAAATATGCCTTAGCAGTAATTTCTTAAAGAACCATTTTCCTGTATCAATAGCTTTAAAAAAGGAGGAATGAAATTTCCATTGTGAATTCCCTAAGAAATGTTCATGTAATTATGTTTATGACAATGTCTATAAATTCTTAATTATGAGACAATTTAATAAATGCTAAGCTACTATAAAAATTCTTGACTATAACTGCAAAAGAACGGAAAAGATCGCTGAAGTTGTATCTGCTGCTGTCACCATACTCCAATCCCTTACGGAGAAAGGGAAGGTCATAACTAAAAAACATCAACAACCCTTTACTGACACACAATTGATCAAAAAACACGTAGATGTGCTGAAGCACTTTCTTTTCCATAGCCAAAAGCAGGCTTTAAATAAAAGAGAGAAGAAAATTTGTGGACATAACCAAGGGACAAAAACTTCCCTCTAATACTCCCAGCCTAGACTCTACACTCAGCAAATCTCAACTGAAGAGCAAACCTTATTGATAGCGCATGTAGTCTTCTCCCGGGTAGAACCACTGCTTGTTCTAATAATCTTGGACAGATCTTCGCGAGCAGCAAGAAGATGGGCCAGTGTAATTGTTGTTTTTGGAGACAATGCATAACGCTTAGGCTGATATATTCTTGCTATATCATCTGTTTTTACCTAAATGACAAAAGTTAGAAAAAAATGTCAACCAAAGCAAAATAATACAATTATCAGATAAGAAAAAGAAAATTTACATTAAAGGAAATGTAAAAAAAAAGTACAAAAATACTTGGGAACAATTAAAGTTGAGCTAAATCAAGAAGTGCTAAATAAAAACACAACCAAAATAAACATCTCACTTCCAAAGAACTTTACAGTTTGCAAAACAATTTTCTCCTAACAACTCTATGAGGCAGGTAGAGCAACTATGGGATTAAAGAGAGAATTTCAAAGATCAGCATGATTAGAGACTTAGCCCAATAAATAGCAGTCAATAAATATCAGGTAGAGGATTATAACTGATGCTTCTTGACTCCACCCAGAGCTTTCTAATGCAACATACCGTTAAAACAAAGCTGAATGTCATTCATACATATTAGAAACCTTTACAAGACAATTAAAAAAAAAAGAAACTCTCTAAAATGCAATATACAACCCACTTATTCAAGTCATAAAATATCCATCAAGAACCTATTATGTACAAGGCACTATGTTAAGCACTGGAGATTCAATGGCAAAAAACAAACAGATCTGCCCTCAAAGAGCTTATATTCTAAAAGAAGGAAACAATACCTACAAAGGTAAGAAACTCACAACTGTGGCTACAGGGATGTGCTGAGCCTCCACAGAAAGAAGGCATTCTGAGAGGCAGACAGGATGCTCTGGCAGCACAATTCACTCAAGGAAGGGGAAGAGACTATAAAAAGGCACAAAGGTGGGAGATGGAACATCAAGTTTAAAGAATAACTATTAAATTTCTATGGCTGGAAAACAGAATAAATTATAAGAATACTCTGAAAGAAATCTGGAAATGTAGGCAGCAGGTTTAATAAAAACAATAGCTAATATTTATAGAAGGCTGTAAGGTTTAAAAACACAATTACAAATATTATCTCATTTGACACAACAACCCTGGGAAGATAACATAATTATCCTCATTCTACAGATGAGGAAAATGAGGCAAGCAGAGGTTAAGTGCCTTGCCAAAGTATGTAAGACACAACTGGTATCTGGGTCTGAATTTGAACTCAGAGCTTTCTAACTCCAGGTCTAGCACTCTACTGCACCACCTAGCTCCCTCTATGTTGACTATGGTGGGCTTTAAATAATGTCTATTTTGTACTTCATCATAGAAGCAATAGCAAACCAAGATTTTTAAGCTAGGGAATGACACAAGCAGATTCAAAAGGGAAAAAAAATAATGGCTTTGGAACTGATGTGCTTGAGAAAGGTAACCAGGATAACAAAAATAGAAAAAAATAAGTTGCAAAAAGATAAGTTGAAACAATACCTAAAAATAGTTGGAGAAAAAGAGCAAAGAATGGCATAACTAATAAACAGAATGAAAGAAGAAAAGTGTAAAGAGACAATTCAGGTACTCACATGAAAAGAAAAGTGAAAGCTCAAGTTCTATGAACTCCAGAAAGTAAATGAAAGGGGTAAAAATTCAGATCAAAGAAGGAAAAAAAAGGGGAAGAATGTACGGAGAGGAACTTCAAGGCGAAGATAAGGATGTAGATCACACCAACAATTCACTTGGTACCTCTGACATATTATTCATGGAATAACGTAGAAACTCAGGTCCCAACCTTTGTGTCTGTGTTGCAGTTTGATCTACAAAGGGACCTTCTATGAATCCTATGCTCCCAAAATATCAAAACCCATCTGCTTTAGATGACTTCTCTTGTGTAATGTTCAGTTATAGTTCATCTTTGAAAACTTGCCCTGGAATTACTACATTTAAGTACTAAAAATGTCTTTTACTGGCCACAAACTAGGTACACACAGTAGTCTTGTGCCCTCACATATTTAGGTCTTTCCTATAATTTCCATTACAGATAATAAATTCTCTGAAGGCAGGGCTTATACAGTATACTTACTATATTTTCTTTCTAAGTCCCAACAATTCTTCTAATGGCACACTGTCCATAACATGGTGGCTGACCACAGACTCACTAGGCTAACCTGAGACTTGAGCCTGGCCATAAACAGAAAAGAATCAAGCATCGCTACCTGCTAGGCTGATAAGGCAAAACAGCTCTAAGAATCTTATATAAACTTTGAGCTCCCATCAGAACAAAATACAAGCAACACCAGGTGTAATGGGTTGTGTTCAACTCTGTCCCACAATAAATTCATCATTACATTGAAAAACTTACCCACAGCAATCTTGTGACTCAAGCTCAATTCTAATCGCCTCAGTATTTTTTCTTCCATCTACTTGGAAGCAAGTGTTAGGTAAATTAAAGGATCTCTAAGGTTTCGCTCCACAAGCACCAGACTGGCAAAGATGAAAAAGGAGGAAAATGATCTAAGTGTTGGAAGGGCTGAAGGAAAACAAGGGAATTAATGGACAGTTGGTCAGACTGTGAACTGGTCCAGGATTTGGAACTACTCCCTCAAAATTTAATATTCTGCCATTTGACTCAGCTACTATTACTAGGCCTAGACCTCAAAGAAGAGAAAAAGGATTTATATGTATAAAAATATTTACAGTAATTCTTTTTGTGATAGCCCAAAACTGGAAAATAGGGTATCCTCCTTTTGAAGAACATGAATGCTATCATACAGTATTACTATGCCATAAGAAATGACAAAGGGACCCAGGGCTGGAGTCAGGAAGACTCATCTTCCTAAGTTCAAATCTGACCTTACTAGTTGTGTGACTCTGGACAAGTCACTTAACCCTGTCTGCCTCAGTTCCTCATCTGCAAAATGAACTGAAGAAGGAAATAGCAAACCACTCCAATATCTTTGCCAAGAAAACCCTAAATGAATCACAAAGAGTCAGACACAACTGAAACAATTCAACGACAACAAAGTGGCAACATGGACAACTTCAGAGGAATCTGGGAAGAGCTCTATGAATTGATATAGAATAAAGTCAGAACTAGGAGAACAATGATACACCTTAGAAATGCTTTAGAATTCAGGAAAACAATGCTAAAACCATGAGATCAAGAGAATGAAGACAAACCACACTACTCACCTCCTGAGAGGTGATGAATTTAAAATGCAGAGAGACACACATTGTTTTGTGTCTACAGCCAATACGGAAATTTGTTTTCCCAGGCTATATAGTTATGTACTGAGGGCTTTAATTTTTTTTTTTTTGCTGGGGGAGAAGGGAGAAGGTATAGTGAGGGGGCAGATTCATATAAAAACGAAGGACAGTTATGCTCTGATATGCCAATTTACTTCAATACAATGTTGCGCAATAGCATTGCTACAATGCCAAAGAAGGATGGAAAAAATAAATTTCATTATCTTGCTACCAAAATATGTATTTTAATGCCCTGCCTTAATGAATGGCTGCTACTGATATTAATTGTTATTGGGAATGAATTGGAAGTACTGCCAAAAAAAAAAACTGGGTATTAAGTACAGAGATTTTAAAATAGACATCATTTGTATCCTTCAATTACTGCACTGCAAAGACACATGTTCTGTAATGTAAAAAAAAAAAAGCGCAGAATAAGAAATGTCAACCACAAAACCGAACTGGGCTAGGCTTGAATATCCCTTAACAATTCTTCACCTGAACTGATGGGCAGTCAGTTAATAAATACTTATTAAGTGACTATTATGTACCAAGCACATTCAGAAGTCTCACTTCTACCTCTGACACATGGCCAAGCATTAGTGAGTAGACTCCACAGAGCTGAAAGATTTTCTAAACTTTGTACAATTTTTAGAGAAGCTCTTGAACCTAAGAGTTATTTGGAAATTCCACTTTTAAAAAATGAAGCAAGTTACACGTACAATACAAAATATGTGAAAGATGTGGGAACCAAGCTATCATTCTTCAAACAGGATCATGATCATTACATTATTTTAATTTATGCTGGTTCTATTATTTTTGACAACTATCAGTACAGGTAAAGTTTTGGTGCATTCGTTCACTGAAAATGGAATTTTCATGCTTTTAACTATATATTACAGAATTAAAAAATGAATTACAAATGCCATCAAATTCCCTTAACAATATTTAGACTGGATGGAGCATTTACAAAGTGTTTACTATGTGCCAGGCTTTGTGCTAAAAAGAAGAGATACAAACAGAAGTAACTGAATTTTAAGTGAAGTGAAGCGTGGCTGAGGCATCTCCTGAAATACTGGTCTAGGCAGACAGACACCAAGCAAAAAAGTGAAGCCTCAGGGAAGTGGTATCTTCACAATGGTGAAGACTGCGGTGCTAGTTACTCCCATAAAATTTCCCTTGGTCAAACAGGACTGGTTAATTTTCTTTGCTTCTGAATTTAATTTAGGATTTTACATCTTGTTGTAAAGCAGAATGTTTTATCTTTGCATTATCACTGTGCATTTTTTCCTTAATATTGATTTTTTTTCCATTTTAAATTTAATTCTTATTTTCGTTGATGTCATATTTTAACACATTCATTTCCAAATGTTATTCCAGCCTCACCCACCAGAAAGCTACCTCTTGTAATAAAGACTGTTAAAAGGAGGGAAAAAAAGGAATTTGGTGAAATTAACCGACATCAACCAAGAATCAAATTTGACTATATATGTAATATTCAATACCCCTAACCCCCTACCTCAGCAAGGAAAGAGGCACGTTTTCTCAACTCTTTAGTCTTGATTACAATAATTAATGTTCAGTTGGATTGTTTACTGTTGAAAACACTGAGTATACTGTTTTCTTGGTTCCGTTTATTTCACTTTACAATGGTTTATGTAAATCTTCCCATTTTTTTCTGAATTGTTCATATTCATCTTTTTTTTAATGATACAAAATATTCCGTTACATTCACATACCACAATCTGTTTAGCCCAAAATCAACAGGCACCTTTGTTTCCAGTTCTTTGCTATCACAAAAAGTGCTGTAATGAATATTTTAGTATGAGACCTGTTTGTCTCTCAACTATATGCCCAGCAGTGATATTTCTTAAGTCCAAGAGTAGTGGACATTTTTAGTAACTTTTTTAAAGCATGA